GGCAGGGGGGCGGGAGGGAGCTGCCTCTCCGCTCTGATCCATTTCAAGGAGAAACACAGGTGGGCGAGGGGGCGTGTCTGGCAGGGGGCGGGAGGGAGCTGCGTCTCCGCTCTGATCCATTACAGGGAGAAACAGACAGGTGGGCGGGCGAGAGGGCGGGCATGCCATCCAGAGAGCAACAGATAGGTGGGCGAGCGGGTAGGTGAGGGGGCGGGAGGGAGCTGCGGCCGGTCTTCACATGTAAAATTTAATTACATGTGCAGCTACCTCGAAGGTAAGACCTAGCGCTATCTTCAGGGATGTCTGTAATATAAGACCTACCGTGAACTAGGTCTTATTTTCGGGGTAGGTCTTACTTTCGGGGAAACACGGTATAAACTCTTCTTCTCGAAATATCCTAACGCAAGAAAATTCCTATAAAGTATTGTTTCGTTGGCATTACACACCGACCCGCATCCACAAATTCTTCCCCTCTCAATCCCCTCAATGTTTTAAAAGATGTGGACATTTAGGCACCATGAAACATATTTGGTGGGACTGTCCTAAAGCTAAACGTTTATGGACCCGAATTTATGCTCTAATTAATGTAATTTTAAAGTGGGACCTGATCAAAAATCCGTAGGAAGCACTTCTACATAAACCCATAATAGGTTTATGCAAACATCAACAATGCTTGGTATCCAACATATTCATGGCCACTAAACAAACAATTGCTAGATCCTGGAAATCCCCTAAGCTTAGTTTTATGGAGGTTAAAAACAGCATTACTAGTGTGATGATTAATGAGCAACTAACATCTATTTTAGATAATTCCTTTACTAAATTCGAGAAAATATGGGAGCCCTGGACCACCTATGATAATTCCTTGAACTTTGACCCGGTTCATCTACAGATTTGATGGAATCTCCTGTGAATTGAATTAAAAATGCCTACCCGCCCTATAACAGTTTATACCTACTGTATTTAATTCCCTCTCTTCTTTACTTCATTCTCCATGTTGTCTACTTCTCCCAATGGGTATTATTAGCACATATGTCCCTATTTTTACTCACTTATGGGGCTTAAATCTCCAGATTTGGATTTCAATGGTGCACTCTATTAGTGGTTCAATGGTTTACTCTATTGACGATTTGCAGTGGTATCCTGTGTTCTATGTGTTCTATGTAGCGGTCCTACTTGGTTGTTCATTCTTAAATTGTCATGTTATATATAACCTCCATGACGTTTTCTGATTACTTTTGACTATGCTTTTTGAGTTATTTCAATATGTTTTCTGTTTTATTGTATTGTCTTTTTGAAAACAATAACATTTTGTGGAAACAAAAGGGGATGTACTGTAGAGACAAAGCGATCATTTTGCCACTTTATAGATCGCTGGTTCGGCCACATCTTGAGTATGCAGTTCAGTTTTGGTCACCAATCCACAGAAGGGATGTCCTGGAGCTGGAGAGACTCCAGAGAAGGCAAGGAAACTAATTAAGGGGCTGGAGGATCAAAGCTATGAGACAAGGTTGCTAAATTAAAACTTGTTCACGCAAGAAGTGATGCGATTAACAAGGGACATGATTTTAATGTACAAAATGTTATAGTGGTAATGGCAAAATCAGTGATAAACTTTGTACTATTACCTCCCTAAAAAAGACTAGAGGCCACCACCTAAAATTGGGGCTTCTTTTCAGTCAGAGTGGTTACATTTTGGAACTCTCTGCAACAATCACTGGTATCAGCAGAGAGTATTTATTCATTAAAAAATAATTTAG